GCCCCCCCCCCCCCCCCCCGAGGCGCTCATGTGGGCGCCGCCGGCGGGCGGGGCGCGCAGAACGCCGGGTCCCAGGTGCGGGACCCGATCGGCCGGCGCGCCCCGGACCACAGCCGGCAGCAGGAAGCCGCGCTCGAGCCCGGGTGGCGATCGCCAGGGGGTGCCCTTTGCGCCAGCGTGGTGGCCGAGTCCGTGACCGCCGCCCCCAAGTTTCGCCGGCCGGGGTTGGGGGGAGAATTGGCCATGAGGGGTCGCCCATGGGAAGACTCCGCGCTTGCTCTCGCTCCGTCGCTCTCAGCCGGCCGCGCGTGCCCCGGTGCGTGGCCGATGGCCCGGCACGCGTGGGTGCGGAGGCCTCGTGTCTGCATGCCCTGCCCCGCCCGCCCCTGAGGCCCGGTCGCTCCCTCGGCCAGGGCTCCCTCCGCACGCACCGCCCCCGTTCACCCGCCCAGCCTACCACGACCGGAGGAGGGGGAGATGGCGAACTCCGCGCTACTCATCGGCCGGCCCGTTGTCCGGCTAGCACGGTCATATGTTGGGCTGCAGGGAGGCGCCTTTCGGGCGGGGCACCGCTGGTCTCGGAAAATGGGGTCAAGACCCGGTGCGCAGGGGCGAATGTCCCCCCCCCCCTCCCTGGCGGGCCCCGGTCTCCCCAGCCGCAAAGGCGGCCGAGGCCCCGTCCTCTCCCATACCCCCGAAACCTTGCCTCGCCGCATGGCCGCCAGCGGAGGCATCATCCCCCGGCCCTCCCTCCCGGGAGGAAGGGAAGTGTGATCAGCCACGAGCAGGGACACAAGGCGGAAGCCCGAGGACAGGACACACAGGGAAAGCCGGAGTGTAAAGACGTCGCAACGTCTCCCCAGCCGGGCGGACCGGTCAAGAGCCTGCCCCGCCCGCCGCCGCCGCTAATATTCCGATGCACATCGCACACGTTCTCACGCTGGCGGGGCCGATTCCCCCCAGCGCCGGTCGCACACACATAAACATACACCGACCGAGGCACTCGCCCTGCCCGTCTGTGCCTGATGCATCATGCCCCAGGCTGGCTGGGCGTGCACGCGCGAGAAGGCGACCAGGCAGCCCCCGGGCCCTGGCGCGTCTCAGGCCCGGATGCCACAATGCGCCTGGCCCCACCTACCCCCGGGAGGGGGGGGAGGGGGCGGGGGGGGTACCCCCTCTCGATGGACGGACCCACGTCCACTTCCGCGCCGGCGCCCGCAACCGGGTCCGTCCTGGTGGCACATCAAGCGAGCACGCAGACACGAACAGCCCGCCCGGACCTCGGACAGAGAGGTTGAGCCCGGGGCGTGCCGGAACAACGCCCGCCCCGACTTGAGCTGGCACTCCTGTCCGGGGAGGGGGGGGGGCGCCAGGGCGGCCGAGTGGAGGGTGCCGGGGAGCTGGGGCAAACGCCCGGGGCCTTGGGGCCGCGGAGGGTTCGCAAGAAAAAGGCAACAGGGGCATGGCGTCCGATGCCCCTTATCCGGTGGCCTCACGCGGCCTGCCCTGCTCTTGCCACACACACACACACACACACCCCTCCCCCCGTGTTTCCCTCCAGACGACACAATGGCCGCGCCGGGCGTGTGACGCGGAGCGATAAAAATGGGCCAACGGTCATCGGGGGCATTCCCCTGGCCGGCGTGCTCCGCCCGGGGGCCCCTGGGGCGCGACTCGGCGAGCAAACCCGACCGTCTGAAACACCAATCGCTCTTGGGACATACTGCGCCGGAAGGGAGCCCGGCTCAAGGGAGGTCGGACACGCCCGGAGGCCAGCCACAGAAAAGGGAAGACCGCGGCGAGTGCCGGCGCGAGGCGCGGTGGGAGGGGCGCAGCCAGGCTGGGGCTAGCCGAAAATTGCTCCCCCCCCCCCCGCCGGGGGCTCTCGTCCACGCGCGCTCCCGCCCGTGCCGAGCAGACCCCGAGAATACACCACGTGCAGCGTAAACAAAGGCGCCCCCGCGCGGCCAGGCCGCCGCCGACCCCCGAGCGACCAGGGGAAGCCACAGAGCATGCCTACTCGCCCGGGCACGCATGCCCGGCCGTCCGTTCGGAGAGGCCCTCCGCGCCACGAAAAGTGGCTGGCATTTTACGGCCAGCTCCCCCAAGCACATATTGGCCAAAATATAAAGCACCAAATAATTACTGACTTTTGATTGAGCCCCCCTGACCCCCCCACTTTCCCCCCCCCCCCCCCGGTGCACTTGTGTTACCCCGGGGGACACATACACGCTCATTGCATGCCGCGGCGCAAGCGCGCCTGTCAGCCCCAGCGTAGAGGGCTTCCGTTTTCGGGGACACCTCACCCGCCATCGGTGTGCCAGCAGGGGGAGGGGGGGGGGCCTCTGGCAGGTTCTCGCCCCCCATCGGCAGACACTCCCCCCTCCCCCCTTTGCCCGGAAGGCTGCTTATCTTTCAGTGTCACAAGTTAATAGCCGCGCCCGGCCCCGCGTGCTCTCCCCCCCCCCCCCTAGGGGAGGAGAACACCCCGAGACTCGACTGATGTTCCGGCAGAGCAGCCGGCACCGGAGACCGCGGGGCGGCCCCGAGGGGGGCCGGCTCGTCGTTCGCGCGCGCATCCGCTCCCAAGCATGCGCGAAGGGCGGGTTTTAATCCAGCAACCTGCCCTCGGCCGCCCCCCCCCCCCCCCCCCGGTGCCTCGCCCCGCGGCATTCCCGCCCACTCCTCCCAGCGATGGTGCCAGCCTGGCCACATGGGCACCCAATGAGTATGTCCACGCGGACATCCATTGAATCACATGTGCTCCCGCATGACAACCCCATTGCCAATGCAATGTTTGCCGAGGTGCCACCGGTGGCCGGGCCTGCCGCCGCCCAACACCGCCCGCGAGAGAGGGGGGTCGCGACAATTTGCCCCTTTTTTTCGCCGCCCCCCCTCCCGCCTGCCCTCCTGACCGAGTCCTCCAGCAGCACCAGCCCCTCTCCACCCACCCCCCCCCCCTCACGCCTGCCTCCCTCTCGCATTTCCCACCCCTCGCCTCCGCATAGCCCCACGACACACGACACACGACACACACACACACACACGCACACACACGCGCAATGTCCCCGGCCCCCCGCATCCTCGTCATTTGCCACTCGCGCCAAGGCAAGACCGCGACTTTGGTGCTGAATGCGGCCAAGGCCGCGGCCGCCGCTCTCGATTCGACCGGCTCCGTGGACGTTCTCTGCCTGGAGGGCACCCCGGCCGAGGGCTTCCGCGCGGCCGGGCTGAACGTGGTATCCCCCAAGCTCGACACCGATGCCGGCCTCCGGGCCCTGGCCGAGTATGACGGCTTTCTGCTGGCCTCGCCGGTGTCGGTCGGCGGGCACTCGGCCGCCCTGCAGGCTTTCCTGGAGCAAACCACGCCGCTGATCGCCTCGGGTGCGTGGCTCGGCCCACTGGGGTGTCCTTCCCTCTCTCTCTCTCTCTCTCTCTCTCTCCCCCCCCCTGCTCCCTCCTTCTTCTTTTTTTTTTCGCCCCGCCCGGCCATCACCGTCTGTCGCCCTGCCCCGAACCATCGGGGGCTGTTCCCAACCCCCTCCCCTTCGAGGCCCCGCGAGCCCGACACACCGCCATGCCAGCCCCCCCCCCCCGGAGTCCGAGAGGGTCCCTCCTTGCCGGCGTAACGCACGCACCCTCACACACACAGGCACGCTGTACTTCTCATCTGGCTCGCCCCCCGCCCCCCCCCCCCCCCCCCCCCTAACCCACCCAATGCCTCCGCACACAGGGGCCCTGGCATCGAAGCCGGCCTCCGTTCTTTTCTCCGCTGCCACTCCGTCCGGGGGAATCGAGACGGCCATTCGCAGCCTCCATGCGGCCCTTGCCCACCATGTACGCCCTCGCCGATGGCCGGTCGCCCCCTCTCTTTTCCCCTTGATTTGTTGGCTGTTCTCGTCCATCCTCGCCCCCCCCCCCCCATTCCTCCCCCCCCCAACAACCTAACACACTGGGATGCTTTTTCCTTCCTTCGCTCACGCAGGGCATGCTCCTGGTGACTCCTTGCTTCCGGGGCATGGACGACGACATGCAGGCCGGGGTTTCCGCCTCGGCGGCCGCCTTTGTGGCCGTCACCGGCATCGACGGCAACGCCCCATTGAGTGAGGGTAGCCTGCGCGGCGCGGCGCGCGTTGGCACCACTCTAGCCGCCACTGCCCGTCGGCTTGCTGCCGGAGCTCGGGCCTCCCCTTGAGGCGGCATCCTCCCTCCGGTCGGGGCTTTGTTCTGCCGATGGGCGATCCCCTTCCAAAAAAAAATAATCCAACAAAAAGTCCACTCAAGCTTCTGTCCCGGTGGGGAGGTCCCCGCGCGTGCACACATTTAAACCCGACATCCAGGGGGCCCAAAGGAAAAGGCAGCCTCGCTGACACATGTGCGCAGGCTGGCCACCAGTGTGGTAGAGACGTATTTGTATATTCTCCCAGGGCACACCCTCCCTGTCTGTCGCTCTCTCTCTCTCTCTCTGTCGGCCTCTTCGCCTCCTTCTCCAGGAGGTGGTGGTGGTGAGATGGGCGCGCTCCGACATGGGCGCTGTCTACGTATATCACCGATACTCCAGAAGTGGCTGGACTCCGCGGCTGATGGCGTCCAATTTCAACTGACAGAAAACCACCCGCGCTTCGATGGCCCCGATGAAGGTCCCATGCGTGCCGAACGGGTCATCCGGTCGTGCAGGATCCGGGTCCAAAAAGGCCGGGTCAGGTGGATCGTCATTGGTCTCTTGGAAGGGGGGTGGTGCTCGGGGGGTGCCATGAGACGAGAAGGACTGGTGGTAGGGGGGGTGGGCAGGATGCGGGGAATGGAGAGGGTGGGGATATTGCTGGGCACCCAGCCCCGCGCCCGAGGGCCCGGGATAGTGGTAGGGCGGATCCCCGGGCCAGGCCGGCTGAGACGGAGGCAAGTCCGATCCCGCGTCGAACCCCGGCACCCGGCCAGCCGACGGGAACGGCGCAAAGGGAAGATTCCCAGCTCCAAACCAGGGGGGCCTCCCAATGCCAGGGCCTGCCGGCCCCGGGTCCGGTGGCGGCCGGGTGGATTCCGAAAAGCCGGGTCTCGGGTGGTCAGCAGGCCCATAGGCTGGCATCCAGTCGCCCGGGGAGAAGGGCGCTGGCGGCCAGTCAGGGCTGCCAGGTGGCGCCGCGGCCGTGGCAGCCGTGGCGCCAGAACCCCCGGGTGGCGCAAATGGCGAAGGCGAAAAGCCCACATCCTCGGAGTCGCTGTCGCTGGCGAAGAGGGGCCCGCCGGTGGCCAATCCCGGCCCGACATCGCTGTCATCCGACGTCGGGTCCACATGAAACAGCTCGTTGGAGATCTGAGCCAGGATCTGGTCGATCCAGCTCAGCTCGGTCGCCGTCGTCGACGCTGCCGAGTGGCCGGCCGGGGCCCCGGGCACTCGAGAGGGGGAGCTTGGCCGGGGTGGCTGAGCCGGTGCCGGGCCGGGCGAGGAAGCAGTCTCGGTACCGGGACCGGGGCCGGGGGTCGAGCTCGACCGCATGGGCGAGAGGGAGTCATCTGAGGAAAGGAGCTGAAGCACATCGGCGCTCAGGAGAAACTGCTGCAAAAGTAGGGGATCCTGCGCAAGGGGCGGCGGAGGTACTTGAGCATGTGCCGGAGCCGGGACCGAGACCGGGGCCGAAGCCGGGGCCGGGGCCGGGGCCGTGAAATCCACGGGGACGGGAGACGGAGAGACCGGCCGCTGGGGGACCGGTCGCCGGATGGCCACCGGCTCCGGAGGCAGTGGCGTCGTCGGCGGGGAGATTGACACTGTCCCGACGATTGGTGATCCTCTGGAGGCGGCTTGGTCCTGGCGGAGTTGCTGCCGGGATTCCAGCAGGGCCCGCGCGTAGGCCATTACTGAGGCAATCTCCTCCGAGTGAACGAAGTCGCCACCATCGGAGTCACCAGACTCCGGCCCCGGGGAGGTGGGCCCCCCCTCGGACCGGGAGGATTTCAACATGTCAATCAGGCCCAGTACCCGCGAGTAGAGCCGGTCAATTTCGTCGATGGCACTGTCGGTATAGTCCTGCACCGGGGTTGGACCCGGGGTGACCGGGATCGAAGCCGGCCCAGGGGCCGGATGGCTCGTCGGCAGGCTCCCCACAGGGGCTCCGGCCATTGAGATCGATATCCCCGGTAGGTGGTCCAGTTCGCCGGCAAAGTGGCCCTCAGTCACTGGCGGCGGCATTGTGCCCCGGTCCACCGGGAAGGGGGACATTGGGCCCGGGGCCCCAGCATCCCAACCTGGCGAGGCGGGGCCCGCCTGCATGGGAACCTTCTCTCCGGGCAGGAACTGCTGGTACATTGGATGTGACGAGTGGTTTGCCTGTGGCGATTGTGGCTGCTGGTGGTGATGCTGCGGCTGCGACTGCGGCTGCGGCTGCGGCTGCGGCTGATGGGGCAATGGCGATGGCGGTGGCTGGTGCGCCGTTGACAAGGGGGGTGGTGGCGCCGGCGGCGGGGCATAGAAAAGGGCCGCGCGCGCATCGCCGGCCGGGGCATGGCGGAAGGCGCCCTCCGCGGGTGAGGCCCCAGCATGGGGGGGCTCCGGGCGAGCTGCGGCGGTCATCGGAGTCAGGTAGCAGGAGCTGTCCGCCGATCAGGGAGGGGAGGAAGAGGGAGTCAGATGCGAGGGGTGGGGGGAGGAGGAAGGGAGGAAGTAGGCAAACAACGGGAGCCAGTGATGCTCAGTCGGGTCAGCGCACCGGGCGCGGCCATGGCAGGTCGGCCGAAGAGGCGGGTTGTGTGACGGGAGCCCTGGGGTCGGCTCGATCGTCGGAATATTGGAGGGG